GGTCTGCAGTATGGGACCGCATTGCATTTCAACTGACCTTCGATGACGACGGAAAGAAAGTTGTGGATAAAAGTGCAACAGTGTGCGAGCATTGTGCAACACGTTTTGTTTACGCTAACAGCAACATGACCAACATGTCATGCTAACCCCGAAATCCCTCATACTCCGTCAGCAACCTCCGCCCCGCTGCGCTCCAGACCGGCTGCTCAAAGCAAAGCCTACAGCCCCCACTGTGGCTCCCTCCGTCCGCTCCCCTCTGAGTCCCTTGGAGATGGTAGAGGGCATGCGCGAGATGAATAAATTCAAAGCAGCAAAACATAGGGAAATGATCCAGGGTTTCCGCAGATCTTTTAAAATAATTACAATCCATTATTTTTTGGGGGATTTTTTCATTAATTCCATCAATTTTTATGGGATTTCGGTGTAACAATCAACAATCAACATGTATCGAACCGAACTGAAAACCGTGACCAGAAACCGTGAATCGAACCGAACCGTGGATTTTGCGAACCGTTCCACCCCTAATATACATATATATATATAGGGCTGCTCAGTTGTGTAGCAAGAAGGTTCTGGGCTCGTTTCCTGGCCCAAGGTCTTTCTACATGGAGTTTAAGCATTTTTAAGTGGCCCCTCACATGACCTTAGTTATCTGCAGGGAAACTCTTACGAGTAAATCGCCTGACCCAGAGCTTAAAGCTGTTCTTGATGTTGCAGTAAGAATAGTCAACTGCATTAAATGTTGTCCGCTCAACACTAGACTGAAAGCCACTCTGCAATGAATTGGGATTGGAGCATCAGAACTTGTTGTTCCACACTGAAGGCAGGTGGCTCTCGTGAAGCAATGTTCTAACCAGACTACATCAGCTGTGGGACGAGGTGCCATCATTCCTGATGAAGCATGGACTAAACAACCCACACAAGTGGCTCAAGTAATGCAGCTCATCCAGGATGACACATCAACGCGAGTTTTGGCAAGAAGGTTTGTTCGGTCTGTCAGCGTAGTGTCAAGAGGCCGGAGGCGCTACCAGGAAATAGGCGATGTGGAGGAGGCCGAAAGAGGGTAACAACCCAGCAGCAGGACTGCTACCTCTGTCTTTGTGTAAGGAGGAACATGAGGAGCACTGCCAGAGCCTTGCAAAATGACCTCCAGCAGGCTTCAGATGTGCATTTGTCTGCACAAATGTTAGAAACCGACTCCATGAGGATGTATGAGGGCCAGACTTCCGCAGATTGGGGTTATACTCACAGCCCAACACAATACAGGAAGCTTAGCACTTCAGAACAGCAGGATTGATAAATTTGCCATTGGTGCCCTGTGCTCTTCACAGGTGAAAGCAGGTTCACATTGAGCAAATGTGACAGACGTGAAAGAGTCTGGAGACACCATTGAGAGCGATCTGCTGCCTGCAACATCCTTCACCATGACTGGTTTGGCAGTGGCTTAGTGATAGCTTGGGGTGACATATCTTTTGAAGACCACACAGCTCTCCAAGTGCTCGCAAGATATAGATTGACTGCCATTGGATACCGAGATGAGATCCTCAGACCCCTTATGAGACCATATGCTGGTGTGGTTGGCCCTAGGTTCCTTCTTATGCAGGACATTTGTTAGACCTCATGTAGCTTGAGTGTGTCAGCAGTTCCTTCAAGATGAAGGCATTGAAGCTATAGACTGGTTGTTCCCCAGACCTTAATACGATTTAGCACATCTAGGACATCATGTCTCGATCCATTCACCAACATCATGTTGCACCACAGACTGTCCAGGAGTTGGTGGATGCTTTAGTCCAGGTCTGGGAGGACATCCTACAGGAGACCATCCACCACCTCATCAGAAGCATGCCCAGTCGTTGTTAGGGATGGGAATCGAAAACTGGTTCCT